TAAAGAGTCCTCTCCTGCTGATGTTCAGGCGTATATCAGTATGTAGTGTCTCTACTTTAAAGAGTCCTCTCCTGCTGATGTCCAGGTGTATATCAGTATGTAGTGTCTCTACTTTATCTACTTGATCCATTATTTGGCTGTTTATTTACATTAATGTGTATGTTGCTGTTTATTGTGCAGCCACTGAAAAACTGTCCAGCATCAGTAGAATGGGTTACGTGGTCACTTGTATAGGTTGAGGTTGTTGTTGCTTGGCGTGGCGAGAATATTGCTCCACTTTCTCCGGTCCCCGAGATTGGGCTTCCAGTAGCTCTGGAGAGAGCTTTCGCACCTGTGGCCACTAACGGTCATAATTTCTCTGCTTTGTTTCAAGACCCGCATCAGAAAGCTTTTGAATGGTGGTACTTTTCCAGTTGGTCTACCTGCTCTTCACGTAGTCTGCATGTCGTAGTTTAGGTGCTTTTTTTTCTGGAGATAGGCACTGCTCAATCCACTCCTCCATAGTAAGACCCCCCCGGAGGTCGAAGTTAATCTTAAATGTTTCCATTTTATGCTTTGTAAGTTTGTTTCGTAATGGAAGAAATGTAAATATATTTATAAAACTGACAAGTGAAATCAATTAATCTGATTGGTCGATAGCGTTTTTGCGGACCTCTTTGATTACAGATTTGAAAACATTGTTGCTTGCTTTAAAAGTAGCACAACTCATTATGTTAAACCTTCAAAAGTATCTAGATATCCCTGCCCTAATGCCAAAGGAACTGCACACTGAATATGTTTTGCCGTTTGATGTCTATGTCTGGACCGCTGCGTACAAAGGAGGGCTTCTGCCCCGTTACTTCTCCGCTGCTTTCTTGTTCCACAGCCCAACAGTATACTGTTTTTCTCAGGCGCGGAGCGATACTGACTTGTTGTGAAAAGTAACTTACAATTCTACCCGTGGTATACGCTCAGTATATCACGGCTAAGAACCAATCAGATTGCTTGATTTGACTTGTCCGTTTCATAAAGTAGCATAAATTGGAATAAAGTGCAAGTACTTTTTAATTGTACTTATGTACAGTACTCTAGTAAATGTACTTACTGCCAGTTTATGATAAAACATGTCTTTGCCAGTAGTGTCTCACCTTAAAACATGGTGAAGTTACACATAACTCTCCAAATGTGTTGGATTAAAGATATGTATTCAGTACATACAGACGAAGTGTTTCTGTGTGAAACTACTTCCACACGGGTTAACCGGAGGAAATGTCATATTGATGTATATAAATACTCCTGAGGTGGAGCTAGAGAGGAAAAGAAATGTACAATTTACATCCTGATTGTGTTTTATGGTGCTATGTTTAGAAAGGTATTTCCTATTGTTTCCGAAGATGAATGAAGCTGGTGTGCCAGCGTCCGTCCGGGGTCAGCGGGGGGGTCGCATCGTTCCCACTGAAACAGCTAACATGCAGAAAAACTGACAAGTCCTGTTTAATGGCCAGCATAGTTACCCCCAATGTGTTATGATAGATAGTAGGGTCGCCAGCACATAGAAACTGCCGGATGCTAACTCACAAATGCTAGCCAATTGGCCCAATTAGCCTAAGTTGTGTTAATTAGCAGTAATGGCCTATGTGGACAATATGGCTTGGCTTGGTGGTCTTGGAGTTTATTGAGGATGCGGAATCCATTTCTGACGTTTTCCGGATTAACGATGGCAGTTTTAAGCGGGCCATATTTGCCCAAAAATAAGCCACCTGTCCCAGCCAGTCCACTAAAACTTCAAAATTGAACAATACTTAATCAAAATCAGCCCACAGAGAGTAAAAGTCTGACTTTAATTGGATGCAAAAACACAGAAAATCCAACATGAGATCTTAGTTTTGCGCAAAAAAAAATCCTCAGTGGTGTGCAAATGTGGCGTCTTCTTCTGGTGTTTTGTTTACAATTGATTTGTGATATGTCCGTCTAATGCAGCTTTTCACCTGCCTTCACTGTGCTGTGTTTAAAGTGTGAAATCTTTTATAATGTGATGAATGCTCCACAGTGTGATGTAACAGCGTTGTGGGAACCATGTGACCTGCTTGACCCCATCGTAGTCATGTGATCTGTTGGTAGTACAGACATATTACATAGAGAAAATTACAAAATATATTTTCTGGATTTGATATGTTTTCTTTGTTGGCTTTGGTTTTACAGGAGTTATTATTTCAGCTTTTGGTTCACACAGACCGTTAAAACACATCTTATCTCCGTTGCTGTAACACTGTAAATGTCCCTGCTGTGGGACGTAAAGAGTTTCTACTTCTGATTTTAATTATTGTTTGAACATTTATTAGAACAAGTTCCTTGACAGTGAGTCTCACACAACATGGTACAGATACAGTATCATACTGTTATATACAAATATATATATATATATACATACACACATACATACACACATACACACTATATAATTAAAA